TCTAGCGGGTACAAATGGTGTGTTTGCAGTGCCTGGCATCCAAATCGCCTGCAAAGCAGCTCTAATGCTGTTTGAAAACGAGCTGCTGGGAGGGATTCGATGCCTCTCTCAGATCAAGGCAGGCGGGAGGAGCGGGGGGGAAGCGGGGGCGGGGAGCGCGTTTGGCACGACGCGATGAGAGGGAGGGAATGGGAAGGGAATGAGAAGGGAATGTGGGCTGAATTTCATCAGGAGCAATTTCCTCCCGTGGAGGCAGCGGAGAGGCCGCCCCCGGCTCTCCGATGGTGGGAGCTCTGGGATCCCACCGGGCACAGCTCCTGTGTTCGGGGGTGGAGGAGCGACCTTGGACCCCTCCAGCACCCCCGCTGCCTCTGCTGGGAGGTGTCACACTGAGACACCTGAGAGCAGGTGAGACAGGCAGCAGCTGGCAGAAAAACACTGTGCCAGCACTTCCCATCACCCCTTCTCCAGCCCGTCCTCACCAGGATGGCCACGCTGCCCATGGGGGTGCCCAGCCCAGCCCAGCCCTCAGCCAGTTCTGGTCACACTGGCAGTGTCACACTGGTGCTCCCAGATTCCCTGCAGCCTCTCCTGTTCCTCCTGGGCAGTCCCAGGTGGCTCAGCTGGAGGGGTCATGAGCCAGGGCAAGCAATGGCAAGAAAATCCCTGAGCCGGGATGGCACCTGCCCCCTCCAGGGACAGCCTGGGTGGCACTACAGAGCCATGGGTGATGCTCTGGGGAGGGACACTCACTGCCCTGTTTGTGCAGAGCGGCTGCAGTGCTGAATTCCACGTGTGCCCAAACCCTGGGGACCCTGAGACTATAAAAATGTGCAGTTTGGGGTTTTGGCAGAGCCGGGGGGTTGGGGAAGGCATTTGCAGCAGCCCTGCCCAGCTCACTGCCTGCCTGAGGGGATCTGCAGTGAACAGAAGGAAGGTTTGTAGGTAAACTGAGGCAATCAGGAAGGGAAAATACTGGGAGTAAACTTGAGGCAGTCTATAGGGCAGAAAATAAATAGTTTGAGGTAAAAACAAGGTAATCAGTGGTGCACAGGTAGGGAAGGTTTTGAGAGTAAACTTGAGGTGCTCTAAAGGGCAGAGAATGATCAGGTTTAGATAAAAATGAGGTGATCAGAAGTGGACAGGTAGGGAAAGGTTTAGGGGTAAAATCTGAGCTGATCATCACTAGTGCACACCCCACAGCCCAGCCACCCTCTCCCAAAACCCCTGAGCTCAGGCAGCCTGGGAATGTGGATATAGACTTGGATATAGCGCCTGAAACTGCCTTCTCCCAACTGCCTTTGGGTCAAGCAGGGATCACAGAGCGAGGTTTTCCCTATCCCAGGGACACTCCCAACCCCACAGTGTCACTGCACTGTCCCCAGGCTGCTCCCAGGCCCTTGGGGACACAGGTGGCTCTGCCACTCGAGCTGGGCAGGGCTGGGCAGCAGCAGCAAAGCCCGGAGCAGAGCCAAGGCTCACAGTGGGAAGGAGGAACCAGGGCACATCCACTGGCAGAGGTTCCTCTGGTCATGTATCCTGGTACCTAGAGAACCTTCCTGGATTAGGGAGGGCAAATAGAAACCACTCGGCTGCCAGGATGAGAAAATGAGCTGGGCAGCCCTGGCCCCACCTGCTGAGGGGAATAAATGATCAGCTGTGGGGAATAAATCACTGGCCATGGGGAATAAATCATCAGCTGGGGGGTCTGTGGGGTTGAGAGCTAATCCCTGGGGATGAGCAACCCTGGAAAGGCAGCAGCAGCACCTGGAGCAGGTGTGTTCCCATCCAAGCTAGGGATCAGCTCCATGTGGAACCTGGATGCTGTGCAAGACCCCCAGCCCCCAGCAAGGGAGTGATGGCCTTGCAAAGGGGGTCCAGGGTGGGCTGAGCCCCACCATGAGCATTGTGCCAGGGGAAAGCAGGAGAAAACCGCTGTGCTGGGAAACCAGGGATAATTTGCTGTCTCCTTCTCTGGGCAGGGAAGTAGTTGGGCTGGGTTTGAGGGCTGCTGAGCCTGCAAAGGCCCTGAGGAAACCAACTGGTGCTGGTGTTGGGTGGCTCTGCAAAACTGAGCCATGGACCTTAAAAAAGGGAATGGGGGGAGGTCCTCCTTCTGTGGGATTTTGTCACCTTTGGGGTGACTTCACTGCCAGAAGGGACACCTTGACCCAGGCATGGAAAAAGAGCTCAGTCAGGGGTTGCCAAAGGCAGCAGGAGCAAGGGCAGGTGAGGTCTGTGCTGTCACTCGAAGCCCAGGCAGTTGGAGAGGGGAAAGGTCCCTCTCCTTCCTGCTTGGATCAAAACCCTTCACCTGATGGTGTTCCTGCTGGTGACAGCTCAAAACAGCAGGTACTTGGCCAAAGAAACTTCCATTGTTATTACCAAATATTTATTAAAAGTAACTGGGCTTAGTCACAGGCTCAGGCTGCGTTTGCAGAGCGGGCTGGTCCAGGCCGGGCTCTGTCAGTAAATACAGGGTGAGATGTGTCCCCTGAGGGGCTCCTGCTCTTACAGCACAGCACAAGTGCAAACACAGAGACATCGGGCTCAGGGCAGAGTGGGGAGGAGGAAATGGGCTTTGTAGGGGGAAGAATTCCAGCTCTGAGTTGAGCAGGTCACGGACACACCTCCTGGTGTGGTGGCAGCTCTGCCCTGTGCCCCCCAAAAACCCCACAGTGGGGGCAGTGCCCCCCATCTGCATGCTGGAGTCCTGCCAGAGTGGCACAGATAGGGGGAAGAGGCATTTTGGGTTTTGATGGGGGACCTAAGCAAAGTGAGCCCACGGGACCTCCCTGGTGCCACCCTGGAGAAGGTCACCCAGGCTGGGCCCTGCCCGTGGCAAGGACAGCCCGGGGGTGTCCCCTCCAGCCAGCTGTGTCACTGTCCCTCGGGTCTGGGGCTCTGCAGAGCCTCTGGCCAGCACAGCTCTGGGGGTCACACCCCCCAGCTCAGCCCCACCCCAGCCAGGAGTCCCTGGCACGGTGCTGTCCCCAGGCCCTGTGGCTCGGCTGCATCTACTCGGGGACATTTGGGGGTGGGGGGTCTGGGCTGCCCTCCAGCCATGCCAAGGGCGTCCCACCAAGCAAGGGCTGACTCCCCAACATCCCTGAGCCCTTCCAGCATCATTCCAGCTCCAAAGGGGCTCCTGGTGAGCTCCCCAGGGCCCGATTTCTGATGGGTCTCGTCCACATGGATCCAGAGCTGCTTCCTTCTAGGAGTTAATCGAGGTTTCCATTAGGGAAAATTAATGGCCACCAAGAGTCTGGAGTCATCACATGGCTCCCACTGCTGCATTCTTAGTGGGGAAAAAAATCACTGGCTGTCACAGGAGCTGGCAGAGCTGGAATGCTGCATTTGGGCTGGCAGGGGACCAGCGTGGCCAGTGTCAGGGGGATCTGGCACGGGACCCCACAGCCAGGGAGAGGCCCTGGATCCTGGGATCAGCGGGGGAGGATCCCACACTCCACCACAGAGGACAAACTGGGGGCAAAAAGGAGTTCACCTCTCTGTTTATTGGAATTAATTTTTCCCCTTGGCACGTTTCAGCCAAAAACTCTTTGGGATTTTGAGCCTGTGCCAGAGCAGCTGCGACTTTTTTATTTCTCTCACACTTCTTTTTTTTTTTTTTTCCCCCAATCATTTTGCTGAGTCTGTGTGAAAATGCCCCAGAAAGCAGTAAAACTTGTCAAGATGCTCCCAGAACTGGCTCACATGGAACAGCATCTCCAAAGGCAGGGCCCCTTCCTGAAACACCAGCCCTGAGAGCCTCAGGGTCCTGCCACCTCTGTGTGTCCCCCCAAGCTCAGGGCATGGTTGGACTGGATGATCCTGAAGGTCTCTTCCAACCTTGATGATTCCAGGATTCCATAGCATTTATGTTCCCCTCTGTTCCCAGCTGTCACCCGGGTGGCCCCGCTCCATCCCCGTCCCGATGCTCAGCAAGGGGCCGAGTTTGGAGCAATGTGGTTCATGGATCCTCATCTTCACCTTGGAGGGAACTTTGCACAGGGTCAGGCTCTTGGGACGGGGGGGACAGGTGAGGGTAGAGCCCAGGGCACCTAAGGAGGTGAGCAGATCCTGTCTGAGCACCCAAATGCCACAGCCCAGAGTGCACAGAGAACAGGGACCCCCTGCCCAGCCTGTCCCCTGTCCCCTGGCGTGAGGTCCCTTTGGATTAATGCTCAGATTGAAGCCAATTTGACTTAATTGGAGAGTGTGACCAAGGGCCCTTTGGGCTTCTCCAACGTGCAGAGTGGGGTTGTAGCCTCAGCCCTGATGCCTTTCCACCACATCTTTGTCCTGCTCTCTTGTTAAAGCCCAAAGTGATGCTAAAGGGGCATCAGAGCTGATGGCAGGAGGCAGCAATGGGGCAGCACCTGAAGCAGGGCTGAGTCAAAACCCACATCACAGGCTTTAATCACAACCTGCCTTTTCCCTTATTCTGATCAAATCACTCATCTGTGCCTTGATTTCCCCACAGAGTAAAGTAATGGTACAAAGGGGGCACAGTGAGACAGAAATAACTTGGTTTTCTGGTGAGATATTTGGGGAGGGGACAAGGACAAGGTGGTCCCGTCCAGCCTGGGCTCCCCCAGCTCCCCCTGTGCATTGTCAGTGCTCTGCTTCCCCCAGATCCACCCTAACCCTCACCACCAGGCAGGGAAGCATCTTCCATCAGGCCAAATGAGATCAGCACTTGGCTCCCAGCGACGGGATCCAGGCAATTCCCCCCATCCCTTGATTAATAACAAGGCAGGTCCGTGGAGCGAGGTGGGGGGGACCTGCTTAATTGACTCTGTGCTTTTGATACAGCAGCTTAATGACTGTGTTCAAATTAGCCAGAATCACCTTTTCATCCTGGGGAATGGAAATGAGAGGTGGATTTCTCCGGCACACCCTCCCCCCCACACTGGCCTCTTAAAAACACATCTCCAAATAAACCAAACGCGTTTTTCACGCTTGGATTTTTCATCTTCTATTAAGCAGATAAGTTGATATTGTTTAAAACAGCAATGAAATTCCTTCACAGCCCTGTAAATCTCCTGGTTTTAACTGCAGATCCAGGGCTGAGGATGGGGATGAACCTCAAAGGGGAAAGCCTGGGGTGCTTGTACCTGCAATGAAATTATAAATCCACATCCTGGAGCAAACAAGCAGCAGGAGGCACCAGAAACCTCCAGGAGCAGAAGAGCTGGGCTGCAGCAAAGGATGGGAGTTGGGAGTGGAACCTGTAAGCTGGAAGAGCTTCACATTTCTCCTGACAACACTCTGCATGAATGGAGCTGATTCAGAGGAGAACATCTCATAGGAGAGCCCACCAACGTGGGGTTCAGGGCTGTGCCCTGCTCCTTCCCCCTGAGCCTACCCTCAGTTTTCCATAAACGGGAGGAGATGCTACCAAAACCTGCTGTCAGATGCAGCAAATGTCACTGAATGGCTCTGTCACACAGCACATCCAGGGCACAGGACACTCCACTCCAGCAGCCCAGGGACCAGCAACACTAAGGACCAAGCAGGGACAAGTGGAGAGGAGCAACAATTCCACCCTGGAAAGAAATCAGCCTCAAGGAGGGAATCGGCCCCTCTCATCCTCAAAGCCTAATTCACCAAATGAGGAGAAGAGCTCCGAGGAGGGATGGGCCATGGTGAGTGCTGTCTCCAGGTGAGCTGTGGGTGCTGCTGGGGGGCTCCAGGTTATTGTCCCGTGAGCCTGGCATCTCCCTGGCACTGGAGCCCACTGCGGGGGCACAAATGCAGGAGCCATGGCTGGGCTGGGGGCTGTGATTGTTCCCGGGGCTGTTCGTGCCCCAAATGCCCCAGTTTCCCTATTGGAGTGGGGGAAATGGCTGTGTTGGTCCATAACCACCTCCACAGGGAGAGCAGCGAGGGGAGCTCGGGGTGAGGTGGCACCTGGACCCTGTTCCGGGGGGGCACAGGGCAGGGGGGATGCAAACGCGCTGCCGTGGGGCTGGGGCAGAGTGGGTATCCAGGGGGGCTGGAGTGGGGCTGGGGGAGCCCCGGCAGGGCGGTGTGGGGGTACCTGGGGGTGCTGGCACGGGCTAGGGGAAGCCCAGGCAGGGTGGCAGAGGGTACCTGTGGGTGCTGGTCCGCCGTGGGAGCCCAGGCAGGGCGGTGTGAGGGTACCCAGGGGTGCTGGAATGGGGCTGGGGAAGCCCAGAGAGAGGGGCCGGGGGGGACCCAGGGATGCTGGCGCGGTGCCGGGTGCCCCACGCAGGGTGGCACGGGGACACGGGGTCGGGGGGCCCACCCAGGGCACTCCGGGGCTTGGGGACCCCCGTCTGTCCGGGAGGGACCCTTCCCCTTTGAGCGCGGCAAAGCGGGAAGCGGAGCCCGGAGCCCTTCCCTGCGTTTCTCCGCGGGCTCCGCGCCCGATCCCGCATCTCCCCCGGCCCCGTCCCCTCCCCCGGGCGGGGGGCGCGGGGGGGCGGCTCCAGCGCACGGGCGGACGCGGTTCGAGAGGCGCCGCCGCCGCCGCGCCGCCCCCGGGGACGGGCCGGGGCCGGGCCGGGGTCCGTCC